CTGAGACTATGGCCCCTAGTTGCCCTTTAGGTCTGGAACTGAACCCACTTCTGTGGCTTCCAGCCAAACAAAAGAAAGACATATAAGCTGAACATTTACACTAGCAAGTACATTCTTTGGAAAGATCAATAATGGCAGAATAGAAAGGCCGTGTATGCACAGGGAGACAGCTCTGGGGGTAGGAGTGCATGAGAGGGAAGGACACAGGGAAGAGGTAAATATGGGGAGGAAGTGGGAAAAGAGCTGTTGCACTGTGGAAAATTGCAGTCAATGTCATGAGACTAAGTGTATGTGAACTGCTGTTTCACATAAATTCACGGAAAATAAATTTGCTCTATAAACTTTCACCCAAATCACAATAAAAATAGGAATAAAAAAACCCACCTCATTTTACAGAAGAAGGAACTAAAACCCATAGTGACAACCCCAAAAAAGACACTGGCAGAGCCAGGATGGAACAATAGGTCTTAAGTGTTTCCTACCCAGTACTTTATCTGTTATACCATACTATTTAAACTCTGGTTTTACCAAGTTTCAATAAGAAAGTAATTAAATATTAAAAGTGTTGATGAATGATTTTGATCAAAATCATTATAACTACCTGGAAGAACTTTCACTTTGCCATTCAATGACAGGATCCTCTACAGAAGCATCACTTGTGCCAACAGTTTCATCTTCCTGCAACAGAAGGCAAATAGTTGAGATACACTGGTATTATTAGTTAGAAAACCAAAAACCACCTCACCATGTATGTGAGTACAACTGTGCTCCATAGAGTTTTCAGTGGCTGATGTTTTTGGAAGTAGATCACCAGGCCTTTTTTCCAAAGCACCTTGGGGTGGATTCAAACCTCTAATCTTTGGGTTATTAGCTGAGTGCTAATAACACTTTGTCTATTCCCACAAAAACAAAATATTCTAGTTAAAATTTATAGACTTGTTTCGCTACATAAATTTGTAATTCATAACTAAGTATACTAGCTTTTTAAAAACTTCTGGTATATACTATGCTATTAATATGAGACATCATTTATTATTTCAAAGACAAAATACACTACGTAGGTGCATGTATCATGCTCTTAAATGCTAAAAACGCTTGTTTTAAAAATACCTATATGCCTTCACCAAGTGAATAAAAAATATTATTATGCAAAATTTCAAAAGTAAATAAAAGTAGAGAAAATAATGAATCCTTGTTCATTATTGTATATACAGTAAACAGCTTAAGACTGTTAACGCAGAGTC